TATATAGAACTAGAGGGTACCCCTCCTTTTTTCCCCTTTATCCAGTACAACTCGTTTTTATATCAGACGAAAAAAGAGTGGGAAATATCAGAAAGGGAGACAGAACATGAGAGACTCCTAACTCTGGGAAACGAACAAGGGGTAGTGGATGGGGAGATGGGTGGGGGATGGGGTGATTGGTTGACGGGCACTGAGGAAGGCACTTGATGGGATGTTCACTGGGTGTGACGCTATATGTTGGCAAATTGAACTCCAATGAAATAATATACAAAAAAATTCTAAAAAAAAAGGAATAACACAGTGCTAGCCTAAAAGTATGTAGAATTTTCTATACCAAAGAAATGTATAAGGTTCAATTCATTTTAACATTAATTTGTTGGATCCTCTTTATGTGCCTGGCCCCCAGCTGGATGGTCTAGGGGACTGAAGAAGATATACTCCTCCCCTAAAATCTATAATGTACGAAACAAAATAAAGACACACAGACAATTGTGGGTTTTTTTATTTTTTAAATATCAGTTTTAAAAGGCTTATAATAAATAACTAACATGTAAAATTGTAAAATATTTAACACGTTTGTTGTGAGGATTTGATATACATATCCATTGTGAAATGATACACTATGCTTATCCTATTGTTAAAGGATTAACTCTGTTATTTTAACCTAGATATTTCATTAAATGAAGGTAAATGTTCAGAGTGCTTTTGTTTTTCTTGCTACATCTTTATATTGAAGGGGCTTCAGCTGGAGCCTTGAATTTAAAAGTGTGGTCCCTGGAGCAGCAGCATTCATTTTATGGGGGAATTTGTTACCAGTAAAAGTTCTAGCACCACCCAGCCCTACGTTATTCTGAACTTTGGGGACAGGGTCCAGCAATCTGCGTTTTCACAAGTCCTCCAGGTGAGGTGACACCTGCTGAAGTTTGAGCACCACTGAGCAGAGTACTACTCCTGGCCTCATCTAGCACTCTCTTCAGTGTGACTTTGATTAGTGAGTTGAAGAGGCAGCACTGAGTATGCCCAACTCAACCTGTTCCACTATTTTGTTGGTTTTCTTTCTTTATCAGAACCAACTTGTCTACAGGATACATACCTACCAACCTGCTCACACACCAGAAAGTCTTACCATAGAAGTAAGAAGAAGTAGGCTCTCTTCCATGTCGGGAGGCAGGGGTTGCTCAGTACTACTTGTGATGAATATGTCTGTCTAGTGATGCAAGATTAGCAAACCAATTAGGCTGCAGATCTAAAGAAGATGGTTTAAACATTTGTCTCTATGTCTTGATTATCAAATGGTTCAATTCATAGGAGGGGGAGATGGAGTTAGTTATTGTGCCTCCACGGCTCCAAAGATAGGTTGTAGTGAAAAGTGGGCAGGATGCAGGTTCAGATCACATGCAGTAGAAAGACCTGCATGTCTTTAGTTAAGAGGCTAACAGACAGAAGAATCAGGTGAAATCTTAGAATGCTTTCAGGAAAGGGAACATCAGAAATGATCAGTTGTGATCTCTCATATTACACATAAATAAGCAGAGCATGGAAGGAACTGAGTGGCTTACCCAAGCTCACATTGCTAGTTAGTGGTGGAAACAAGACCAGGATCCAGGACATGTGGCTCTCAGCTGTGCGCTTTCTGAGCAGGTGGACCAAAGCAGACAACAATAGAGAAACTTTAAAATGCAAGAATGCAGATATGGCCAAGTAGAAGAACCAGCCCCGGGGATTTTCAGTGTGGGCAGTGGGATCAAAGTGCTTTTTACTCAGAGGAAAGCTCTGGCTGCAATCCACCTGTGCCTGCTGTGTTGCCCCCTCACACAGCCATGGCTCAGGCTACGCAGCCGGTTCGGTGCTCTGAACACTGCTTCGTATTCCTGTGCTTTTCCTCCTGGTGTTCTCTCTGCCTGCAATCTCTTCCTACAGCCCATGTGTAGAAAATTATCTGTGTTTGGAGAGAGCCAATAAAATGCCAACCTTCAGCAACGTCTTCCCTGATTTTACCAATCAACTCTCACCACTGTGGCAGACACAAATGCTCATCCTCCACTATAAATTTCCAAAACACATTATTTGTGTACTACTTATGGCAACACTTTGTACTTTGTGTTACAGCTATACATCACCCCTTATATTAGAATGTAAGTTCCTTAAAGGCAGCAACCCTATTTTACCTTTTATATTTTGGTCTTTTTCTAGTTTCTTTTATATTTAATTGAAGCATAATTAATATACAGTATTGTTATTTTATTTTCAGGTATACAACATAATCATTAAACAATTCTATACATATTTCAGTGCTCATCAAGATAAATGTGTTTTTAATTCCTTTATCTATTTCACCTATTCCCCCCCCTCCTCCCCTTTGGCAACCACCAGTTTATTCCTTGTAATTAAGAGTCTGGGGTGGTTTTTTATCATTTTTCTTTCTTTCTTTCTTTCTTTCTTTCTTTCTTTCTTTCTTTCTTTCTTTCTTTTTTCTTTCTTTCTTTCTTTCTTTCTTTCTTTCTTTCTTTCTCTTTCTTTCGTTTTATTCCTTTAAAAAAATTTTTATTGGAGTTCAATTTGCCAACATATAGCATAATACCCAGTGCTCATCCTGTCAAGTGCCCCCCCTCAGTGTCCATCACCCAGTCACCCCAACCCCCCACCCACCTCCCTTTCCTCTACCCCTTGTTCATTTCCCAGAGTTAGGTGTTTCTCATGTTTTGTCACCCTCACTGATATTTTCACTCATTTTCTCTCTTTTCCCCTATAATCCCTTTCACTAATTTTTTATTCCGCAAATGAATGCGAACATATAATGTTTGTCTTTCTCCAACTGACTTATTTCACTCAGCATAATACCCTCCAGTTCCATCCATGTTGAAGCAAATGGTGGGTATTTGTTGTTTCTAATGGCTGAGTAATATTCCATTGTATACATAAACCACATCTTCTTTATCCATCCATCTTTCCATGGACACTGATGTTCCTTCCACAGTTTGGCTATTGTGGACATTGCTGCTATAAATATCGGGGTGCAGGTGTCCTGGCGTTTCATTAAATCTGTATCTTTGGGGGTAAATCCCCGGCAGTGCAATTGCTGGGTCGTAGGGCAGATCTATTTTTAACTCTTTGAGGAACCTCCACACAGTTTTCCAGAGTGGCTGCACCAGTTCACATTCCCACCAACAGTGCAAGAGGGTTCCCCTTTCTTCACATCCTCTCCAACATTTGTGGCTTCCTGTCTTATTAATTTTCCCCATTCTCACTGGTGTCAGGTGGTATCTCATTGTGGTTTTGATTTGGATTTCTTAAGTATGCATGTGAATGTTATCATATGGTATTTACTTTTCTTGACTTGTTATTCCACTTAACAAAACAACCTCCGGGGCACCTGGGTGGCTCAGTTAGTTAAGTGTCTTACCTCAGCTCAGGTCATGATCCCAGCATCCTGGGATGGAGACCCACATTGGGCTCCCTGTTTCTCCCTCTCCCTCTGCTGTTCCCCCTCCTGTGCTCTCTGGCTCTCTCTCCATCTTTCTCCCTCTGTCAAATAAATAAATAAATAAATAAAATCTTTAAAAACAAACAAACAAAACATACAACCTCTATGTTCATCCATGTTATTACAAGTGGCAAGATTTCCTTCTTTTTTGTTGCTGAATTATATTTCATTATATATATAATATATATTCCATTATATATTCCAATATATATTCCATTATATATAATATATTATATACATAATATATATATATATTGCATCTTCTTTATCAATTAAGCTTTACGTGGACTCTTGGGTTTCTTCCATATCCTGCCTATTGTAGATAAATGTAAGAGTGCATATATCTTTTTGAGTTCATGTAAATAAAAACTTTTGCACAGAAAAGGAAACCATCAACAAAACAAAAAGGTGAAATATAAAATGAGTGATGATATTGCAAATAATATATCCAATAAGGGGTTAATGTCCAAAATACATAAAGACCTTGCATAACTCATCATTAAAGAAACAAAAATAATCCATTAAAAATGGGTAGAAGACCTGAATAAACATTACTCCCAAGAAAACGTACAAGATGGACAACAGACACAAAGAAACATGCTCATCATCACTAATTATCATGGAAATGTAAGTTAAAATTAAATAAGATATCACTTTACACCTGTCACAATAGCTAAAATCAAAGAGACAAGAAATAAAAAGTGTTGATGAGGATGTGGAGAAAAGGGAGCCCTCATGCACTGTGGGTGGGAATATAAATAGGTGCTGTCACTATGGAAATCAGTATAGATGTTCCTCAAAAAATTAAATATAGATATATCAATATTTCCACACTGGATATTAACCTAAAGAAAACAACATTTTTGTAGCTCTTAAAAAATATATTTATCTGTGTATTTGAGAGAGCACATGAGGGGGATGAGGTACAGAGGGAGAGGGAGGAAGAACCCTAAGGAACCTGAGATCATGACTCAAGCTTAATTGATGGAGCTACACAGGTACCCCTATAGCTCTTTTTAAAAAAGACTTTAGTTATTTTTTAGAGACAGGAGATAGAGAGTAAGCACAAGTAGGGGGAAGAGCAGAAGGACAAGCGGACTCAATACTCATGAGTGTGGTGCTTGATTTGGGGCTTGATCCCAGGACCCTGAGATCATGACCTGAGCTGAAGTCAGACATTAAACCAGCTGATCCACTCAGGTACCCCCATCTAGCTCTTTTAATAAGAACTTAAAAACTTTCTTAAAGCTAGTGTGCCGTAAAGACACAATTGAAAATTAGACAACTTTAAAAGAGAGCGAGCAACGACACATTCTTCACTTCACAATAAATACAAAGTGCTATTAATGTTCCCTTACAAATAACTCACGGGAGGCATAGCTTTCCATGTCCTCAGAAGTACCCCCTATTATTGTGCAGGGGTCCACACTGCATTCAGGTGTGATGATGTCAAACCAAATATGTACTGGCGCCACTGAATTCAAGGTTTACAGTTCTGGCCATAAGTGAAGTGGGGCTAAGGAACCAGGTGCTGCTGGATCACATAAGCAAGGTAGATAGCAAACCCAATCAGCATCCAGACACCAAATAGGGCCCAGGTGCCAGCTGTCATCTGTACCATAAGATAAACATTGAGAAAGATGCTCAGGAGTGGGAGGAGAGGCAGACCAGGTACCTTGAAGTGAAGGGGAGTGGAGTTCTGTGGCTGTCTCCAGATGACCCCGGTGATCCCAGTGATGAGCAGCAGGAGCAGCACAACCACTGTGATCCACACTGGGTCTCCAGAAAGCAGATCTGGCCACCGGGCCAGCACCAGGCAGAGAAGAGTCAGCAGCAGAGCGAGCAGTGAGGAGCAAACATAGACAACCCGACCAGAGAGTGGAGTGGGGGTGGGACTGCCTGGAAAAAATAGTCCCTGTAGAGTCAGCTTCTCTGCTGCAGGTCTGCTCTCCTCCTGCACCTCTGCCTCATTTTCCTCATTCTCCTCCTGCATCTCTGCTTCATTTTCCTCCTGCACCTGTGCTTCATTTCCCCCATTCCTCCTCTGAGGCTCATACCTGAGGATGAGAACACTAAAAGCCAACAGGGAGTAAACTAGCAGGGCCCCAACTGACATGAGGTCCAAGAGATTGGCAAATCCAAAGAATAATACCATGATTCCTGCAATAATCCCAAAGATCACAGTGGCCACAATGGGTGCGTATGTGCTGGTTTGCATCCTTGCAAGGACAGGAAAAAAGAGGCCATAATGTGTCATCATGGAGATTAGCTGACGTATGGGAAACATATAATCCAAGAGGCTGACAGAAATACTACAGAAGAATGCAAGAGTTACAACATAGTAGGCAGGGGCCCAGCCAGTATGGAGAAATGCCTCAGGCAAGGTGCTCCCAGGTTGGAGCTGGTAATAAGGCACCATAAGCATAAGTGCTGAAAAGACACCACAGTACACCAAAATGCAGATGAGTAGTGAAATCACAATGAACATAGGAAAGGAATGCTGGAAATTCTGGGCTACTTCAAATCTGGTAACAATAATGCTCAAGCCTGTAAAAGAATAGATACAGGTAGCTGATCCATGGAGTATCCCCTGGAAGCCAAAAGGCATAAATCCTCCAGAGCCCAGAGGTCCCAAGCTAGAAGTGTCATTGAGTCCAGCCATTATGTAGTCTTCTTCTGTGAGCTTCCAGTTGTGCAGGTCCCCCTTCAGGAAGCCATAAATGATGACAAAACCAAGAACCAAGAGGTTCACCAATGTGACCACTTTGGTAACCAGGGAAAGCTGCCTAATGTTCCGAGTCAGCAATCCCATGAGCAACAACACAAGGAACATAAAAAAGAAGCCTAGAACTTCTGCAAAGACCCTGGGAACATGTTGTGAAATTGTCTCCTGCAAGGTCTGAGATATCTTGTTTCCAAAAAGGTTGTCAAGAGCTAAGGTCCAAGCCCAGATCCTAATGGCTATAGCAGTAACATTGTTGAGGATGAGAATCCAGGCAGTGATGAAAGCCCCAAGTTTATCTACGATGACAAAGCTGTGGGGATGTTTGGAGCCAGAGTGGATAATCTGGGGACTAAACTCTGCAAAGTACAGCATAGCCAACATAGAAGATAGGCCTGCCACCAACAAGCAGATCACAATGGATGGTCCTGCTTTATCTCTAGCCACCTCACCAGCCAAGATATACACACCTACACCCACTGTGCGGCCCACACCCAGGGCTACTAAATCCAGAGTGCTCAGGCTTCTGGCAGGGGCAGGTTCAGCCACAGGTTGCTCCAGCGGATGTCTAGGTCTCAGATTTTTACCAAATCTGTGAAGTGCTTGATGCAGCATTCTACCTAGAATTGAAGAAAATTCTAGAATCAAAGAGCTGTAGCAAGTCCAGGGAGCTGTAAGTCTCAGATCAGGTCCAGGGAGCTGAGTTAAGTTGAGTGGGGTTGAGTTGGGGATGCCTTGATCGGTTTCTCAGGCTTCAAAGCTACTGCTTCATATTTCTTCTGGTATGTGTTCTCCCTCCATAATGCCTAAGACATGGTAAACAATAAATATTTACTGAACCTATTATTTAACCCACCAATCAAAACTCAAAAATCACATATCACCTGTGACATTACAGAATAATGTTACAGAAACTTACACAAAGAACATCATAGAAAGATCAACCCTGCTTTCCCCCTCCAGAAAAAATACCAAATACCTCCCAACATTCTCCTTTTTTACACACCACAAAACAAAATCCCATTTGGTTTCATATAACTCACATAGCTTCATCTACTAATTAGGTGGTAAGGCACAAGAGGACATGAATGTATTGTGCAAGAATTCACACACTGGATGTGTTTGCAGTGCTTAAGCATGAGTTATGATGCATTAATTCATGGACTAGTGGACTTCATTGCAATTACAGACCGATCCATTTTTTAAATATCACCTGAGGTTAAATACAAATATTGGTCGTCCAGCCTTAAAACCCTTAGCCTCTATGTTAGTTAACCAACGCCAGGAGGCAATTTGGCCCCCTTTCTCCTCATTCTGCCTCATCCATTCAGCTGTACTGATGGCCACAAATATACAGACCACCCCTTCCCTTTACCCACCTAGGCCCACAGGGGTGCTGTGAACAGAGAGGAGGAGGAAGAAAGGGGCAGGGCCTTCGTAACCATCTGCAAGAAGGAGAGGACCAGGCTGCCTGGAAAGGAAATCCTGGAGATGTGGGGGCAGAAACCACCCCAGGGTTCAAGACTGAGAAGGGAGAGGAGCCAGGAAGGTGGTTTTGTGAATTCTGACATTCAATACTTCTCACCCAAAGCACCCAAACAAAATTCACTATACTTTTTATGTGCATTGTTATGAGAACGTGGTGGGAAGGGTGAAAAGAAGTAAGTCACCTCAGTGGCCCACAACCAAAGCAATTCCTTCTGTCTCCTCCATCTCTGGCTCCAGGAGAGAAGGTGAGCTCACTTCTGCAGTCTCCTCACTGGCCACACTGGGCTCTATACATACCCAGCACCATCTGGGATGTCAGCTGCCAGGGGACTGAAGACCCTGCCCTGCTCTGTGAGCTTGTATTAAAACATTCACTAGTAACTGTCTATTAAATTTTCACAAGGAGCTTTTTTAACTCCCACAAATCATAGTCTGACTACATTAAATATAATTTCTTAATGAACAAACTCCTCGTGTAGTTCCTCTTTCCCCCTACCGCAGTACTGCTATATAAATGGTTGCCTCCTCAAGGTTGAAAAATTCACAATAATGCCCCAGAAATGAGTAGTGGAGATTAGAAAAAGCAAAGTCATGCAGCCCCCACTCTCCTCCTGACTCAGGCTTCGGGTTTGAGAGAATTTTAGGAAATGCTGTCAGAGGCTTATAAAGACCGAAAAGATCAAATCAAAATAGAAAGATCTTCTCTATAAATTATCAAATGGAACCTTTGGGTTATGGGTCAGCCCTTCTGTCTACAAATCTATCTATCCTCCCTCTCACTACTCACCAGTTCCAATATAATGATTTACCACCAAGCACACCAGAGATATAAGGAGGCTCAATTATTACCTCAGGGAACCTTTCTATACTATAAATGTGCTTATTCTTCTGTGCTTATTCTTCTAACCTCATCCTCTGCCCAGTTCCACCTTCAGCTGAGAAATTCCACACTCACCCTATCACCTCCATCAGACTGAGTTAGGTGCTCATCAAATATTTGCTGAACAAATATACAAACCAAGATAAGAAACCTAATAGAGTACATAATCCAGAATTCCTGTATACTTGACTATGAGATACATAGTATATTATAAACCTGGTTCAGGTAAATATATAAACAGTATTACCTTCCTTGCGGAAGGAAATAGAAATGAAAAGTGTGGAGGAAACTCCAACTGTGATAAAACCCTGACTGCCAATCATTCATGCAGGTAAAAGCTGCAAATAATTGTTTGCCTTTGAGGACATTTGCTTTAAAAATATCATGCTGCCTTGGAGTATAGGAAACTAACCGCCCCCACCCAGTTAGAGAATCCCTACTTTTTTAGAAGGTATCATAATCAGACCTTATAATCTAGGGAAGATGTCCTAAGGCAAAGGTTCTTAGGTTGTGAGAGACAGTGGACAGAAGACACCTGGGCAGCATTTTCAAACTTCAGAATCTCTCCCTCTGGCCCTTCCTGGTGATTATATGAATGTGTAATTTGCTTAATCTCTTAAGCCTCAGTCTCCTCACCCATTAGGAACCTTACCTGTCATTCACTAGATCAAATGAGAATTCAATAAGAAGATATAAACAATCATGCACCACTGGTAGGCGTGTTATTTGGGGGCCATCCTTAAGCACAATCATAGTAGAATTCAGAAGGCATACACAATTGGACATAGAGTTGTTGAATGAGTGAATGTATCTAAATACACATAAAGAGCATAGAGTGGAAGAGCATTTGTTAAATGCATTTGAAAAGCAAGTGCCTTAAATGAGGAGGGGAAATGAGAATAGAGATAAGGATGAAAAAGGAAAACAAAGTGAACTGAAAAGAGGCCTGACAGGAAGTGATGGTGCGAACACACCATGACTGAGGGAGGCACTGACCCCACTCCGTGCACTGCAGGTTTCACCCAGGAATTTCAGGAGATAATGTTGTGAGAGGACCTGGTACAGTGCCTGATAAAAGGCAAACACTCAGTAGATTTAATATGAAGGAGAACTGGAATCCTGTGATTGTCAGGATATGGAGAATACAAAGAAGGAATATCTGCTAGAATAAGGGTGAAGATAGAGAAGATGGTGCACCCCTCCTACTCGTTCCCTCTGAATCCATTTCTCTTTTTCCAATTCCTCTTTCTTCTTCAGCTCCTTCAATTGTCCTGGAGGCTCCTGTAGTTGGCACTAAGGATGCTGGTCTCAAGTTTCTTTCTCTGGGGAATCATCCTTAGCCACATACCAATCAACAAAGACACAACAGTGGTTCTTCACATTTGTTGAAGCGCAGACTCCTCTGAGGTTGGACACCTCAAAAATAAAAAAAAAAAAAGAGTGGGAAATATCAGAAAGGGAGACAGAACATGAGAGACTCCTAACTCTGGGAAACAAACAAGGGGTGGTAGAAAGGGAGATGGGCAGGGGTGGGGGTAACTGGGTGACGGCACTGAAGGGGGCACTTGGGATGAGCACTGGGTGTTATGCTATATGTTGGCAAATAGAACTCCAATAATAAATAAATAAATAAATAAATAAATAAATAAATAAATAAAATAAAATAAAATAAAAATAAAAAAGTCATCCTGAAGTCCATCCATGGACCCTGAGCAGGAATCTCTGAGGACGACCATCTGAATGGCAAGACTGCAGAGGTCTAATGCTTTTGATAATTTGTTTCCCTCAACTGTGTTGTTCAGGGTGGTCCTTGCGCTCTTCCTACTTTTACTGAAGATGAGAGCCAGTGGCCCTACAGATAATGTATGAAGATATAAATGAAACAACCCAAAGTATTAAACACCTGGGAATAAAATTATCATATTTTAAGACTCCAACAGAAGCAAGCAGAACAAACAAATGAACACCCAAACTTACAGAAGAGAAAGCAAACCCATGATTGGGTACCCTGAGACAGCCTACTATAAATCCAGCTTGTTACAACACAGAGAAGCACCACCCGCAAACACCATGTGCAGATATGCCCTTTCTCTGTGCAATAACTTTGATTATTCCAATGCTTTCTATTCTGTCCAAACTCTGACCCAGCTGTCAGGGCCCTGCCCTTATTCTCCCTCTACCCTCAGGCCTATCACTTCCTTCCTAACTCAGCTCCTCATATCCTGGCTTACCCTTCCTGGGATGATCCTGTGGCCAGGTAAGTTATCTGCTGTGCCAATGATGCAAACTTTCTTCCCATTCCCACCAGCACTAGAGTCTGTCCTGATGTTCAACTGAAACTAACTTTCCCTTTCTGTCTGCTGGTGTCCGTAAGTTCCTTTACAGTCTAAAAGCTTCCAGAGGGCAGGGCCAGGTTCCATATTCGTTCCCCTTCTTCTGATCTCTACACGCCTGGCCCCAACCCTCAGTACCATGGACAAAGATCTGTTCATCATTGTAGCAAGCAACCAGAAGAGGCATTTAGGAGAGAGGTAATGAATATATAGATTTATTGATTGACTACTATATCTTGAGATTACTCAAAAGTTTGATTTTTGTTTTTCTTGAAAGAGAGAAAGGGCCAAACAGATGTAAATAGGAGACAACAATGTTCAATCACCTATTTCAAGTGCATTTCCTGAGGACATTTCCTTTTTTTTTTTTTTTTTAATGAGGACATTTCCTAATGAGAGTCCTGGGTCTGTGAATCTCAGTTTAAATAGGAAGAGTCTCTCCAAAGGAGGTGTTGCCACAGGGGAAGTGCTTGAGGAAATGCAGAGTGGTGCCAGAGAACACGAAGCCAGGTTGTATGAATTTCATAATGCCTCTGATTCCCACTTGCCTCCTTTCTCCCTGTGCTTCTGTCAGTCTCTGAGTCCCCTTGAAACTCCACAACAAAACTTCTGATCCAGGTACCGAAGAAGAACTACTGTCAAATCCAACAATCCACCCATGAAATTTCAAGCTGTCTTGCTTTTCCAGCCAGACACCCCCACTCTCCTCTGTCCTGGAGGTCATTATGTTCATTCCTCTATCTTGAGAAAGATACTTCCCTCACTCTAGACTTTTCCTTTTCAACACATTTTTCCAAGGCAGTAAGTTCCACTGGTTCCTGTGGTTGGGTGTTAACACTCCTGCCAGCCAGGAAGTTGGCCTTGTGGCTCCTCCTGAATAGCTTCAAAGATAGTGTGGATACCAGTTGCTTTGC